ATGGGGGGGGGGGGGGTTGCGTCCACCCTGGGGGCAGATGCCTCTGATCCTTCCATTCCCTTCCCAGACCTGCCCAACCTGCTGGCCTCCCTCGGGGGTCAGTGTTGGCCAATCCCCAGCCCTGACCCTTCCCTGGGACTTAGGGCCTGGTGGCCAGTGCAGTGCCCCCCTGCGTGGCTCAGAGGGGCAGGGCTGGCCTGCCACTTTTAGTGCCAGCTTCTCTGGGGCCAGGGGGGGTGTCTCCTAGACCCCAGCGCACCCCACTTCGGATTTGTGACAACGTGGACGGGCCTGGAGGGTGTAGCAGTGCTGGAATAAGACAGTGTGACTTCACTCCCGTGGAATCTAAAACACAAGCAGGCAAACCGAAGATACAGAGGTCAGGGTGGCGGCTGCCAGAGGGGAGGGCCGGGGGAGGACGGGGCAAGTTGGAGGCTCAACCCCAGGGTGACAGATGGAAACTAAAGGTTTGGTCGTGAGCACACTGTTGCGTCCGCAGAAGTAGAAATTTGCATAATGTTATGAGCCAGTGTTACTCCAGTGAAGAATACCCTATTTTAAACATCTGATTTTATTCCTTGTGAGCGGAAGTCTGACTGATACTGGCGTTGGTGTTTTAGGCATGGTTGTGATTTTTAAAGCAAACACACACCCCTCGGGCAGCTGTGTGGTCAGAGCCCCTGCTGCCCTGTCCTCCAGGGTGTTCCAGCCTCCTGCCTCTCCCCTCCCCCTCCCTCCCCCTTCCCCCTCCCCCCACTGTCCCCCCTCCTCTCTGCCCGGCTACAGTGCAGTGTGGGTCAGGTCTGCGTGGAGCATCCGTGCAAGGCAGCGGGTCACCACTCCTCCCCAGGAAAGGAGCCCTGAGCCCCATATGGAGGCACCTCCTGGGCAGGTGGGCTGTGTGTCCCGCGTCAGGGCTGCCAGGAGTCACCCGGTGCAGCCCTGAAGCTCCACGGCAGGTAAATCCCAGATGGTTTACGGATAAGGAGGAGCTGGGGAAAGCAGCTCTTTTGTTTGAGAAGATTCCGGAAGGAGTGGGAGTGGAGTGGGAACACAAAGGTGGTCAGGGATTGGCATTTATGACGGCCTGCCTGCTGGGGCATGAGAGGGTCCCCGCTGGGCCTTGCTCTCCGGGATGGGGGCTGTGGACGCTGGGTGTGCGGGGCCAGCGCCAGAGGCCTCCCTGGAAATGCTGGGGCCATGGCCGGGTCCCCAGGGCTCCCGGCCTGCATCACAGTGAACTCGCTGGGTCTGGCCTCCGGGGAGCTCAGGAGACCTTGGACCCCGCTCTTGTTTGGTTTGCGGGGTGGGGGATCGCATCACAGGTCCCAGCGCCTCCTTCCCGCTCAGCCCCAGAGACTCTCTCCCAGGCACCTCCTGCTGCCCTTGGAGCCTGGGGGCGGTCCTCGGTGGGTGCGTGCAGCACCCGCCCCACCCTGCAGGACTTCCCCCGCGATCCCGGGACGAGCGGCCCACGGGGTCCAGGGGCCCGCGGTGGCACCTGCTCCCGAAGCCCTGATGGCGGTCCCCTTGCTTCCAGGGAGCCACGTCCCCGGAGGAGCAGAGGGTCCTCGAGAGGAAGCTGAAGAGAGAGGCCCGGAGGCGGCTGCGAGGAGCGGGCACGTCCGTGGCCCAGAGCCCAGCAGCCAGGCGCTCGGGGGCCGCGCTGGCCTTGGACTACCTGTGCAGGTGCGCGGCCCCGGAGGGATGCAGGCAGACCGATGCGGGCTGGGGGCTCGGGGCCCCCGCGGGGGCGGGTGGTCACAGCCTCCGTGGCTGTGTCTGGGGCCAGGGGAGCCGCTGCTCCCCGCCTGGGCGTCTGGCACCCGGAAGCGCAGCTTCAGCCGTTGGGGTCAGCGGTGACGGGTCAGTAGTTGCGGGCGCTTGGGCAAGGCTACCGCTCAGCCTCCACCTCAAATCAACAAAATGCAGGTGAAGAGTCTCACTCACCTGCCTGCCCCTCATAGTGTCGTGACAACCTGACAAAATGATGGCCTTGGAGCTACCATGAAAGACTCACGGGCCATGTGCTGAAGATGGCATCTCACCGCCACTGTCAACCTTGTCACCCCACCTACATCACCACCCGCACCGACATCACCACCGTCACCATTCACGTCACCCCCCCACCAATCACGTCACCCCCCCCCCC